TGATGTGCCGACCGCATACGAGAGCCCGTCCGTAGGATGCGATTTGAGAGCGGTGATGCTGAATGGTTTGGTGACGCTTGATCGTGATGTTGTTGTTGGTAACAGAGAAGAGACGGGAAGGTGCAAAGACGTTAAGGCAGTCCGTGATCGGGGGTCCCAGAACTCGATATGGTTTGTCGTGGCGCCTTCCAAGCCGAGTGACCAAAGCCCGTGTGTCGGGTTCACGTCGATGCAGTTGACACCCTCGATATCTGTATCCTCTTCCTTCTCCTTTCCCTTTCCTGAACCACCGCGTTGACCGACTTTGAGAGGAATCATATACCGTCCTTCCTCGAGATTGAACCGAAACACCTCCCGCCCTGTCGCACCGACAAGCACCTCACAACTCGGCGCATGATACGCCAAACACCTTCCATAAGTCGGTAGTCGAAGCGTGTAGTGAAGTCCACCCTGCGTATGAAGTTGAAGCGACCGATCACCTTGCAGATGCAACGACTTTGTCCAATCCTGCCCTAGTAACACGAAATCCACATTCTCCGCATCCGTCACCCGGGTGAACTTTTCCGTCAAGGCGTTCAAGTCCCATACTTTGATCATGGGCTTGTACGTGCCCGTTCCCATTGCGAAATCACCATCGGGAGTGGTTTTGATCTTGATGGCGCTTTGGGGGAACGTAAAGTTTTGGATGAGCTCCAGTTGACCGAGCGTATGCTGCGTGCGCTGACGTTTTCCAGTGGATTTCTTGGTGCGGACTTTGGTGGTTAGCCATGTCGGTAGGGACGAGGAGGATGTACTGGATGGACCGTTGACTGTATAGATTTTGGTGAGACCCGCATCCGGAAGTGATTGAGGCATGGTCGCGTCGCTAGGTAAAAAGAGAGTGGCAGACTTGGCCTTCAACTTTGACTAGAGATGGATTTGATGGCTAACAACTTGGTCACAAGGTAGTAGGCAGCTGTATAGGCACTTCATAGACCGCCACCAAAGAGAAGCGCGTCAAAATTCCTGTAAGCGCGACAAGCAATCGAGACTAATGTACCATCGCCGTTCCCACAAAGTAAATAACGCTCAATTTTGGTCAATGTTTCTCTAGCTGTTTCTCTTCTTCGCGTGAGCTTGCAACGATCTTGCTCACAGAGTCACTAGCCGATCCTATAGTTGTAGTGTTGTCTAAAGCCAACACACAATTTCACGCGTTTTAACGGGTGTTGGGCTGTAGGATTCCCACAGCTAAATTAAAATCCGGCTCAATTACAACTCATGTATCAGTAATTTGTTGCTTCTACTTGTATCGACGCTGCATCTACCAAATCCCAACCAAATGACTAGCCAACTTGGGGAAACGAAAGACGAGAAGAAGGAGAGAGAAAGATCATCACCGTCGTCGACAAGAAGAAGCCAAAGCACTATCTCGCAAGTGAGATGGATCGGGAATCGCTCACAATCATCGAGGCTATCAGTGCATCTGGTCAATTCATCCCATTCTAAGCCATCATCACCGCCAAGAGCTACATCACCGGGACGTTCCGCAACGAGCTCGAGCCTTCGACAGTGATCAACACCAGCGAAAAGGGCTTCACCACAGATGTGATTGCGCTGGATTGGCTCGAGCACTTCGATAAACGGATCAAGAACAGTCAAAGGGAAGAATACCGCATACTTTTGATCGATGGGCATGGATCTCATACGACGGAAGATTTTGTGGACTATTGCTCCGCAAATAAGATCATATTCGTGTTGATGCCCTCCCACTTTACGCACCTGCTACAACCAATCGACCGCAAAGTCTTTCAGCCGTACAAGCACTATCACCGTACGCATTGAACGAAGGCGCCAGCGTCGGTCTCAAAACCTTCACTAAGGGCGACTTCCTGGCCGCGCTCCCGCGCATTCGAAAAGAGACATTCACAAACGCCAATATACGATCCGCTTGGCGAGAAGCCGGTATCGTTCCTTGGAACCCCAGCAAGGGTTTAGGGAAGATGGCGAGTCAATTCATGAGGGAGAGTGCGGCGGAGGCAGCTGAGAGACCCACGACCCCGGGACGCGTCCTGCAGGCTGCAGCCCCTGAATACCCAAACGCCTACCAGCTCCGGTGGCTTACGTCGAATGTGCAATCAACTCCAAATGTCCGCCAGGAACCAGCGTGAATTCTCCCCCCTGAATCCTGATGGAGAAGATGATGAAAGGCTCGGGCAGTATTGCTGTAGAGAACCATAGTTAGTTTACGGTAATGACGTATCAAAATCATTACTGTTACGTCACTGTTCTCTCGTATAACCGCTTCTCTCCCTAACTTCACAACTCCAAACTTCTGAACTTGTGAACTTCACAACTTCTGAACTTCTGAACTTCTGAACTTCACAACTTCACAACTTCACAACTTCACTTCCCCTTGGAAGACTTCCGCCTGACAGTCTACCAAGAGAGATCAGCCCGCTAGAATACTATATATAGGAGCACTTCCACTTGTATTGCCATTAGCTCTATGATCTTTTATCTCACCCTTTGATTACCTCTTAATTCCGAAGCTACCTCGAGTGCAAGACTTGCTCAGGATTAGCTAGCCTTCGTCTTCCACTTCCGGTAAGTATCAGTCCAGTCTTACGTAATCAGTCCTTGTATAACTTGTGCTAGGATTCAGTTACGACGGCGGTACTCGTATTACGTATAGTACGTAGTAACCTAATACTAATTACATGCCTAGGACATCTGTACAACCGTTTCTAGGATGTCGTAGCACGAACCTTGTAAAATCTGAGGGGGCTCGTCCGTCGAGGCAGAAATCATTCTCTCTTCGATGACGCGAGCCTTACAGATTACCTAGTGGAGGCCCTGAAGGAGGGTTAGGCGGCGAAGTGGATGGATTGGTTGATTCGGCTACATTGGTAGTAGTTGTGGTAACCTGGCGTGGTTGATCGTCCCCTACGGTCGATGGCCAATGGAGACTTTCGATTGCAGTGGCCTCTCTCAAGACTTTCAAAATGTCTTCATTGGACATCGCGTTGTAAGAAGTATGTCCCGGAGCATCGATACTGCCCTCCCCGGGCTGCTCGTTCCCCAGATCGTCTCGGAACGATGTCATATCACTTTCGCTTGAAGCTACCGGAAATTCGTGTGAGCACTGTATAAAGTGGCCTACCGATTGCAGCATTTCGTTGGCAGATCGACACATATAGCAGCTTATACCAGCGATACCACTGTCTGCTGGTATACCCCCACCACATTTTACCTTCAAAAGTCGGCAACGAGAGCAAGCAACAGTACGCTTTTTGGAGTCAACGGTACCTCCGGACCCTTGTTTGCTGCCCTCCGATTTCGATTTAGCGGGTGTAAAGATACACTCCACCTGGTCGGTAGTGCAGCTTCCGCATTTCGGCTTGGTCTGATCACATCGCTGTCGTTTTGACTGGCAATGGTTGCAGGCGATCTTGGCATACGGTTTACGTCGCTTCTGCAAGAGCATCACCGTTTGAGCAATACTAACACCTTATTACGATTATAGGATCTCGCCTTTCCTATTCTCCACTTCGACTCTCCAAGTTCGATCCCCCGATATACTATCTTTTTGTCACTTGTTGTACAATAGATAGTCGCAATAGTATTCAGATAAGTCAAATCTCCGATAGCTAGTTCCGCCATTGCTAGTTGATCTCTTGATTGTAGTTATTAGAAGTATACGTGGTATTACAAGGTTATTCTCTGTTTGCGGAAGCAGTGCCACAAGTGTGCACAACTTGCACAAGTTGACAGTACGTTCCTCCTAGAGATTCTGCCTTTAGTTCGCGCCTTTGGTACAAGAGTTACACAAACGCGAATGTGTACTCGACTGTGCGTTGCACTGTGCATGAACTGTGCAACCCTAAGCGCGCCTTCAAGGAGCCCTTAGGGAAAAGCCATTCGCCATGGTGGCGAATGCATTATATATAGCAGCCTTTTCTGTTGTATTAGTTTGGCCACCATGATTTATATGATGCACGATTGACCTCACCTACTTCACCCAAGCTTTCGTCCTTGGCTATCATATACCATACTAAGTGATCAAGGTAGATTCGCCAGCTATAGTAATCTATCTCATTGCATCTAGTTGTTATAGTTATATTCTACGATACTATAGTCGCATTAGCATAATACCTTTGACTAAACCCACCGAAGATCTAGTTCTGTATTGAAAAGGTATATCATATTATATATTATACTACCTATATAGATACAACGCAGCTAGCACTCTTACAGCTTCGGCACATACTGAGGTTTTTTGGGGGGGGTTCTGGGTTGTAGTAGTGTCCATACTCGCAGGCGAAGTACGTCTTGTGGGTTATGGCTCAAATTCGTGGTTCCACGGCTGAAATTCCCGCAGTTATGGTTGTTTCCCGAGGCCGCCTGTGGAGATCCATGGCGATGCGCTGCATGTCCAAGCGCTATATACTAGACACTCCTCCCCCCTCCACTAACTCTCCATTTCTCTCTGACAATGATGAAAGGACTACACAAAGGAGAAGTACGAAGAAAAAAAGGAAGACTCGTGACTATTTGCAGGATCACGCCTTTCTTTGCGGCGAGTAAAATCTTCCGTTCAGGGGGCATATATCATTAGACGATTACACGCTCCGCTGGAATTCTCTGTGCGCTTTCTGGCTAACCGACCGGAACCTTTGTGTTATGGGAGTGCCCTCAGCTGACCACTATCTGGGCCAATTTCATGTGAGCGAAGGATAGACTTTGACTGGTCCAGTTCCGCGTTTGGCTGTGCATAAAACGGGTCACACGTGGAACAGCACAAAAAACGGCTCGAGCATAAAAGCGTCATCGTTTTATGTTGACCTCCTGTAAAGGAATATCAGAGATCCCTCCAAGGATACTAGGTCCCTTTCGTTATGTATGTCAAAAGTATTTGCGGACTTCAATCCTTTTCACGATTTCACGATGCGTCGCAAGTGAGCAGCGAAAATGGCAAGCAGAGCGGAGCGGAGCAAAAAAAGAAAAGCAAAAAGAATCATCTCTCTCGCCGAGAATCGAACTCGGGGCTGATGCGAACAGGTTCTTGGAGAACTGACAAGCATCGATGTTACCATTACACCACGAAAGACGCTGATGATTAGACCGCTCTTGAATAAATAATTCATTGGTAAACTTCAAGACAAACGCTCCCTTCATTATTATCGTTTCCCTACGACATATCGGGACTACTCGTCGTTTCTCAGGGACCCACATTCACATGCGCATGAGAAGGCTATTCAAAATGACAGCGTTCGTGGTTCATCCTCATTGCCAATGCATGACACACCTTCTCTATATTTTCTATTCAACGCGCTGCCAAGTGAGACGTGCGATTCTTGCCTTTCCCAATACTGATATTGTTCCAGCGTCCGGAAAGCGCTGGTGAACGGCGGCGTCGATGACGGATCCCGGTTGTCGGTTCATTGAGTTCAGGAGTGCTATATGGATGAGGCGCACATGGAGGTCACTCTAATAACCAGGTAGTAGATGCGGAAGGTTGTACATGATACAATGGTTCGTGACGAATAACCCGCTTGTTTACGATGTCGCGATTGCGAACCTACTTACACTCTGAGCAGACTGAATTCATCCCGGACACCCATAGATCAGTATGTATTACCCTCGTTCCTTCTTCATCCCAACGGAGCAGGATTCAGGATGGCATACACTACATGGAATCAGGGATACAAGGAAGCGAATGTATGTAACGCATCGCCGAGCTGACGGATTGAGCTAATGATGTTGTCCCGGAATGTAGACATCTACAACAGCAGCCCTCAAGCTCGAATCAACTCTCCCACACACCCTTCCTCATCTCGCACAACGGATCTTCCCTTCCTACCTTACAGCAGCAACGCAATGGTCCAACCTCCTCTCTTCCGGCCTCGCGCCTGTAGCGACAGCGCTCGGAAATATCAGTGGAGAACGACAAGAAGCGGTGAAACGTTGGCGGATGTGTTTGGAGCGAGCGGATCTGGTGAAGAAGAAGGTGGCAGCGATGGGCGGAGAGGTGGTTGCCAAGCCGGTTGCAACGCGGAAAGCGGAGGTGGTAGAACAGGCGTCGGTAAATCGGGAGGAGGAAGGAGCACGACGGCGGAAGGAGGATGAAGCGGAGCAAGTCAATATCTTGCGCCGGTCAAGCGTGATCCGTCACCAACGTCAAGAGGTGTCAAACAGCGCCACAGCGATTGCCTTCTCAGCCGCAGGGAAGAAGAACGAGCTACGCCTCCCATTATGGCATGATGCGGACGGAACATTCATCACTCCACTGACAACGACACAACTCGATTCCCTCGTCGCTTGTCCCGACTTTTCGCCCGACCAAAAAGCGTGGAATGCGAAATGGGAGAACATATACACGCCTACGTCGCCTTGGGTCCCATTTGAGCCTTTCCTTCCGTCGTTTTCGAAAAACGTCGATGCTGAGGTTGCTGGACATACCGGTGCCGCTGCGGTAAAAGTATCGCAAGGGATCGGAGCCAACTGTTCTGTCGTTGCGGGACTCAACGTCCTTGTCGCTCACAACGCACGTCAAAGAGGTTCGAGAGAGCTTGGTGTGCAGAACTTCGTAGATGTCAGGGTAAAGCCAGAACGAGGTGATGTACATTACGGAGAGGACGCAGGGAAACGATATTGGAGGGTCAAGGTATTTGTCAATGGAGCTTGGAGAAGCGTGAGTTCATTTGCAGCGGCTATGTTCTCTGCCGGACTCGAAACTGACTTTATCTTCTCTCTGCAGCTCGTCATCGACTCGTGCCTGCCCACATCGACAAAAACAGACGAACCGCTTCACTGCATCGTCACACCCGACCCGCCGACCCAACCTATCCCCACCCTCCCCTCCCTACTCTGGCTCCCCCTCCTCGAAAAAACATACACGACCCTCCTCGCTTCATCATACGCCTTTCCGGGCTCAACGCCATCAACAGACCTCTTCCACCTAACCGGCTGGATTCCTGAACGCATCCCGCTCACTCGAGGATCATTTCAACGCGAGCGGACATGGCAGCGGGTGGAACGAGGGTGGCGGGACGGCACGGTGTTGATTACGCTTGGAACGGGGAAAGATCAGCAACAACGGAATGTCATCAGGGATCCGAGGGTCGTGCCGCTGCATGCGTATGCTGTAGTGGACGTACGTCATGGTCATGGGCAGGCGGGTGGGGACGAGAGGAAGGTAAAAGTCGTGAATCCCTGGAGGAGAGACAGGTCTCGGACGGGATCGAATGGACGGCAATGGACGAGGGGGATGTTGCAGGCGCTCGTGGAAGAAGCAGAGGATGAGGATGCGGAGCCTGAGGAACCTCCAGGTACGTTGTCTCGATACGTCCGCCCTTCGCCATCGCATTACTCACGCCTTGACCCTCTCTTTCGTTTGGTAGACTCGTGGTGGATGTCCTGGGATGAAGTATGTAATACATTTGATACGCTCAACCTGAACTGGGATCCACGGATATTTGAACGTTCCGAAACGGTGCACGCGTAGGTCCCGTCAGTGATGCTGGTTGAATAAGGAGGCGTTGGCTGACTCGGCTTCACGGACAGCGTGCATACCGACACGGATGATGATGGTGAGTTCACCAGCTCTTACGAAATGTCGTCCAACCGTCTGAATCTGCTCTCTTGCTGATCACCTGCGTTACAGACTCAATCGAGATAACGGTATCGGCTTTATCCCCTGGAGCGGATGTGTGGATTCTTCTTCAACGGCACATTACAACTTTTGCCACTGCCGATACTACCTTTGCCGCGGTAAACCATGACAGGAATGATAGTGAGGGTGAGGATGGAACAGGAATTTCGATGGCGATGCAAATTGTGGAGAATGTAGGAGAGGTGGTCCGCTCGCGAGATGTATGGGCGAGACCAAGTGGCGCAGCGGTGAGTGGCCGTGACAGGGCAAGAAGCAAAGCAGGCTGCTTACAAGGGTGAAAATGGTTAGCTCGAGTTCACTTCATCTAGCTGGATCCTCGTAAGTTGCCCAGTCCCTCTTTTCGCATCCATCTTCTCGCGGACCCCGGCTCAAGACTCTGTGTGCTCCTCTTGAAAACAGACACAGCATAAATGCCTGACGGAGAAAGCTACCCTCTCAATCCGCCCACGTTTCGAACCATCTTCAACCGTGTCGGAGGCGGGCAATGCGGATGGCATCGCGTATACGGTAACCGTCTACTCGGATGCCAACATTCTGGCCCGCAAACGGACCATGGCGTATGGTTACGAAAAAGTGGTGAGGCGATATTGCCTGTCTCGATGCCGGTACAGGAAATGCTGATTGACCCTGCAACAACAGATAGACGTCGACTTTTTCGGTCGCACTGCAGGAGGTAACCCGTCGCATCCGACCTTCATGCACAACCCACAATACCGAGTACACATCAAACCGGATATTTCGCAAATGGCGGAAAAGCATATAGCAAACGTCAAATGCCAACTAGTCGGTGAGGACCACACGAGTTACAACGTCAAGCTCGTTTGGCATCAGGGAGAACGCGTCACCGAGTACGTACTTGAGGCATGGTGTCGGTTTCTTTACCTTGATGTCATCTGATGTCTGACATCCTCTCCAGCCTACAAGCGCACGATGTCGTAGCTGATTCCGGGGAATACCGCTATGGCCAAGCATCGTTTACCAAGACTGATGTCGGAGGTAAGCCCTTTGCGAAGAAAACGACAATGACAGCCGGTCGCGCTGGAACCTGACGACATGTTCACAAGCAGTCGGTATCTACACATTGGTCGCATCGTCATTCGAGGCTGGCAGAGCATCCAAGGCAGCTCTCAAGATCCAATCCACGTTACCATTGGACGTCTCGCCGATTCCACAAGAGGGTGCTGGCATGTTCTCCCGCGTAGTTAAGGGGCAATGGTAGGTCCTTCCAACTTGCTGAGTAGACTTCTTCCTCACGGACTAACGGATCATTCTGGGTAGGTCTGGAACGTTGGCTGCAGGACGTCCGTCTCTAGGATCGTACGAGCAAAACCCGCGGTACGAGCTGCTGCTACCTGAACCTGCGACTGTCCTGTGCGTCTATCTCTCATGACAGCGGAACGCATTCACACTAACGTTGTTGCTCCTGTAGATGCCGACTACAGCTTGCTACAACAACAGGCACTCCAATACCCATCAGTGTCACCATCTTCAAGCGTGGTCCATCAGGATCGCTAAAGCGGCAAGTGGCAACTTCAGGACCTTACGCAGATCCAATCAGCGGTGTTCTGATTCCACAGACTGATCTGGAAGCCGGGATATACGTGGTTGTGCCGTCTACGTATGCGGGCGGGACCGAGGCGAGCTACTTTATCAGCGTGTATGCGACGCGCAAGGTCGAACTGTCTGTATTGTGATATCGCATGGGACCACGTCTATTCAACCGAGCGTGAACGAAAACCCGTAGGATGATACTCGCTGCAGACTCTGTTTCGAGTCGCCTAATCACAGCGGAGGCGCTGTTCTGGAGTACAGACGGTAAGAGCGCTACGTACTCGTTTACCATATCGTCTTGTCAGTCTCGACTGTCAAAGGTCGCCATGTTCAGTCGTATGCGCCGACTCCTGGAAAACAGCTACTGTTTCTGCGGCCTTGTGTGTCGCAGAATGAAATGAGCGTAATGAGATGTGGTCAAGCGGTTGAGGTATGCTCAAGCGGTCGGATCTTGCTGCTACCCTGTCGACGTGTTGGCAACAAACTCCCTTGCTTTCGCCGGGCGCCTATTCCTGCATCACGCCATTTCCAGTCGCACAATGTCGCTTTATGGTGAGAAGTCATACCGATGGAAGTAGGCAGTATCGAACGCAAACGTTGAGACCAAAGTGCGATTGAAGAAAACATGGTGATCCTCATGGCATCTTGTTTGGTTGGACCAGGAGGATGAAGAGGGGAAACGCGCGTCGCTCAACTTTTTCTTCGAGAATCCTCACAAGCCGGTACACCTATAGGCCAGGAATGGAAAGCCATCAGTATACGTGCAACCAATGCTTCACCTTGACCCCGCCCTTGGTCGCCTCGGATAGCATTGCCGCCTGGGGTGCACTCGTATGTCAAAAGTTCCTCTGCGTCGCTGGTGGTGTTCGTAGTGGAAGGAGAAG